GCCTCTGCCACAAGAGAGCAGGAGTTCCAGGCCTTTCTGTCAAGGTACCAGCTTGAAAGAAGGGCATGACTCCACAGGGGGAGAGCAGTGATTGTGCCGGGAGGGAGAGACCCTCTCCCCCTGACTCTGCTCTGTCCTCTCCTTCCTCCACTGCCAGGAGCCAGTCCCCAGCTGACCAACTGCTCATAGCCCCTGCCAACTCCCCGCTCCAGTACCCCCTACAAGGTGTGGAAGTTCAGCCCCTCAGGAGCATCTTGGTGCCAGGTAGGGAGGAGGGTCCCAGAGGATGACCTCAGCCACAGTGAGGGTGGCAGAGCCCGAGGCTGGGTGGGGAAGAATGGGAGATGATTGGAATGGGAGGTGGGAACCTCTGATGAAAGAGGGACTTAAGCTCAAAAGGGGGCTTAGGAGGTGGGAGGTGAGGACGGAAGGGACTCTAGGAATTTCAGAAGACTGTAACTGGGGAGTTTTGGGGGAAAGAATCTATTCTTTTCTGACTAACCATTGGTTAGGTGGTGGGCAGGGCAGGCCATAGGGCAAGCTTTGATGGGAAGGGCTCAAAAATCAGTCACTGTAGGCTATGTTACAGTGTGCCCTGCTGAGGCCTCAATAAGAAGAATGGGTGGAAAGTTCTCTATTGTGTGTGGTGACAGCAGGGAGAGAAAATGAGAAAGAATTCAGGGCTGCCTATGTGATTCTGATCCCCGCTTCCATTCTCCTAGGGCTGAGCCTTCAGGCAGCTTCTGGTCAGGAGGTATACCAGGTGAGAGAAAACAGGAAGGGAAGGAGGCCAAGTAGGCATCAAGAATGCTGAGAAGGAGGCAGGGCTACTAAGGGAAGGATGGACGAATCAGGGAGGCAAGAAGTGGGTCTGAGGCCTAACCCTGCACTCTCCAATCCCCTCCTAGGTAAACCTGACTGCCTCCCTAGGCACCTGGGACGTGGCAGGGGAAGTGACTGGAGTGACTCTCATTGGAGAGGGGCAGGCAGATCTCACCCTTGTCAGCCCAGGGCTGGACCAACTCAACAGGCAACTACAACTGGTCACTTACAGCAGCCGAAGCTACCAGACCAACACAGCAGACACAGGTGTGAGGCCTGGGTGGGGAGAGGGGCAGGCTGGGCAAACAGAGAAGAACCAGAAAGGCTGGAGTGGGCAAATGGCAGAGGGCATGGGAGGCATCTGGTCTATGGCCAGAGCTGTCCTGCCACACAATGAGTGCTTCAACTGGACCAGCAGGGCCAGAGAGGGAGAAAAGGGGCCTTTGTTCATCTGGGGCTGGAGCAGGCCAGAGGGAAACCCGAGCTTTGGGTGTGTCTCCCCTTTAGGCCAACCATGGGGGCCCCAGGAAGAGACGTGTCTAAGGAGTTAGAAGACTATATTTCCAACCCACCCCTTACTGGAGGACAAAGCCCTTTACTTTCCTGAGTTCCCATTTCTCTTCCAACAAAAGGGGCCTAAGAGCCCTCCTGCTTCTCCCCAAAGCTGGTTTGTTGCACTGAGTTTGCTTCGACCTTAGGGCCTTTGCACTTGCGGTTTTCTCAGCCCGGAATGCTCTTCCCCAGATTTTTGCAGACTGGCTCCTTCTTGTCGTTTAGATCTCAGCTCAAATGTCTCCTCTTCACTATTACATTACTTATTTGTCTTATTTTCCATTCAATACTTACCAGTATCTGAATTTTTTAATTTACTTAGTCTGGCACCAGACTGACTAGGTTGCTATCAGTTTTGTTGCTTAATAGTTGTGTAAATGTGGCAAGTTACTTTTCTGTGTCTCAGCTTCTTTTTCTGTTGTAGGAATCTACTTAATAGGGCTATCATGAAGATAAAATGAGTTCATATATTTAAGGTAATTTTTTAACAGGTCTGGCACATAGTAAGTGCTCAATAAAGGTTAGCTTTTACTTAAAATTTTCTTTATTGTTTTTCTCCTACCCATTAGAATGTAAGTTCCATGAAGGTATGAACCTTGTGTTTTTTTCCACCAAGGCCTAGAAAGGTGGGACACAGAGTAGGCACTTAAATATTGATTGGCTGAAAACAGAATGTTGCCCCACCCTTCAGGGTCAAACGCCATGTCCTTTCTTCCCAGTCCGGTTCTCCACCGAGGGACATGAGGCTGCTTTCACCGTCCGCATAAGACACCCACCCAACCCTCGGCTGTACCCACCTGGGTCTCTACCCCAGGGAGGTGAGGCTGGTAGGGGCAGGGACATACTAGATCCAGCATTGGTGGGGAGCAAGTAGAGAGAGGGCAGTCCTGGGAGGGGATATCTACCTGTTCCCCTCTCCCAACTCGCCTTGTCTGCACCCAACCCTGTGCCCTCAATCTCAGCCCAGTACAACATCAGCGCTCTAGTCACGATTGCCACCAAGACCTTCCTCCGTTATGATCGGCTACGGGCTCTCATCACCAGTATCCGCCGCTTCTACCCAACGGTTACCGTGGTCATCGCCGACGACAGTGACAAGCCAGAGCGCGTTAGTGGCCCCTACGTGGAACACTATCTCATGCCCTTCGGCAAGGTGTGCAGCTAGCAGGCTGAACGGCAGGCCAGAGGACTCCCGCAGTGGGTGCGCCCTCAATCTGCAGCCTCCAGGGTAGTGATTCGAGGACCACCTGCCTCAGAATCATGGGGTGCCTGTTAAGCATGAGGCTTCCTGGAATGTAAGCTTCCTGGGAGCAGGAAATTCTCTCTGCATTCTTAGAATGGTGCTTAGTGCATAATGGCATTCAATAAAATAGCTGATGAATGAATAAATAAATGCACACAGAAATTAAACGCATTCCGAGACCACTGACTTGGAACCTCTGTGGGGGATCTGCATTTTTTTTTACCTAGCTTCTGGCCATTCGAAAGCACTCAAAAGTCTGGAGAAGAATACAAGCTGAGAAGGGTCGGGGGAGAGAAAGAAAGGTGGCAGAGGGCCATGTCCTATTTCTGCAGCCTCCCCAACCACACACACCTTTCCGCCAGGGCTGGTTCGCAGGCCGGAACCTGGCCGTGTCCCAAGTAACCACCAAGTACGTGCTGTGGGTGGACGACGACTTCGTCTTCACCGCGCGGACGCGGCTGGAGAGGCTTGTGGACGTGCTGGAGCGGACGCCCCTGGACCTGGTAGGGCAGGGGCCGTAGGATGTGGGGGTGGAGAAGGGCCTTGAACAGGCTAAGGCCACAGTGGGGACGCTGCGGCCAGGAACGGCGAGCCCTGGGACAGAGAGAGGACCACGAAGTGGGGCCTGGGGACTGTCTGGGTCTTGCAAGGGTGAAGCGGAAGAGGATGGGGCAGGGGTACCCCCGAAGGCACCGGAGCGCAGACCTTGCCCCCTTCGGGTGCCCGATCCCCGGCTGCCTGGAGCCAGCCTCCCTCTCCCTGCAGGTGGGGGGCGCAGTGCGCGAGATCTCCGGCTTCGCCACCACTTACCGGCAGCTGCTGAGCGTGGAGCCCGGTGCCCCAGGCCTCGGGAACTGCCTCCGGCAAAGGCGCGGCTTCCACCACGAGCTCGTCGGCTTCCCAGGCTGCGTGGTCACCGACGGCGTGGTTAACTTCTTCCTGGCGCGGACTGACAAGGTGCGCGAGGTCGGCTTCGACCCCCGCCTCAGCCGCGTGGCTCATCTGGGTGAGTGGCGCCCCCTCCCGGTCGACCCTGGCAGGAACCCCACAGGGAGCTGGCGCACCCGCCTCTCCTAGGCTGCACCCGCGCCCAGCCGCCACCGGGAACCCTAGAACAGTTCTGCAATGATGTACCAAGACCTGCACCTGGACGACAGACAGCTCCCACCCTCTCCCAGCCCCGCATACCCTTTAAATCTCTATTCCCAGCACAACCGCTGGGCCCCTCCTCCCCGCCCGCGTAAGCTTCCCGGTCACTGTTCCCGCCACCCCTACTCTACTCCCAGCGCTTCCCCTAGTTCAGACCATAGTCGGTGCAACCCATCTGGCGTTTATTTAACCTCTGGGAGTGGGGGTAGGTTTTTCCATTTTCAAAGCACAAGTATATTGACTCCATTTACACAAGAGTAAAACTGAGACCCAGGGAGTTGATTTACTTGCTCAAGGTCCTTAGAAACAAGCCTTTGCGCACACACTTTCCACACCCTAAATTTGAGAGTTCTCCCTTACCGGTCGGCGTTCTGCACCCTTGGGATCCCTCACTGTGTACTCCCCTCCACCCCCAGAATTCTTCTTGGATGGGCTTGGTTCCCTTCGGGTTGGCTCCTGCTCCGACGTCGTGGTGGATCATGCATCCAAATTGAAGCTGCCTTGGACATCAAGGGATGCCGGGGCAGAGACTTACGCCCGGTACCGTTATCCAGGATCACTGGATGAGAGCCAGATGGCCAAACACCGGCTGCTCTTCTTCAAACACCGGCTGCAGTGCATGACCTCCCAGTGATGGCCCACAGGGGATTTCTGACTCTCAGGCTGGGCCTGCCTCCTTGTCCCTGCCAGGAATTTCCAACAAACCCCACCCACCCTGTGAGCACTCTACTGGCAGTCCCTGAGCCTCTAGTTCCTCACTCTTCCTTTTCAGAACCTTATGCCCAATAGGGGTTGTCCTGGTGACACCCCTCCTTTTTCGAGTGCCCAGAGGCCTGGTGGAGCCATAACCTCTCCCACAGCCAGTGCCAAGTCCTCCCCCTCCCCATTCTCATGGGGCAGGAAATGGGGGGATCACTTTCCAAGTGCCAAAGAGCCCAGGGGGACTCTAAGAACCTAAGGTGGAAACACTGTCCTCTCATCTTCTTGGGACTGAGGGGGTGGGGAAGTTCCCCAACACATAATCCCAAGACTGTACCCCTCACCCGCATCTTCAGATCCAGTACTCTGTGTACCTGCTCCAGCCCCACCCCCACAGAGATAACTTGCGGCACTGGGGCTGGGGTGAGGGCCGGTGAACACATGGTGAAAGCCATTCTTAGTTGTGTCTCTGCAATGCTGTGGGCACAAAAGACAGAGCCCCAGAGTCCCTGTGCAAACACCTAGACTCGCTTCATGGATTCCAAAGCTCTCAGCTTCATTTTATTAGTTACGTTAGGTAAGGGAGCTCAAGGTCATGGTCCTCATCACACACATGTCATCGGGGCCCTCTGCACTCCACATGATGAGGTCAGACCCACACTGTGCAAATCTTTGGGTCAGTGAGCTGGAGACGAGAGGAGACATGTCAGGAATAGATTAGGCACCCTCTCCCTTGATGAAATGTGGCAGTCCTCTCAGGGGTACCCCACCTGCTTAGGGATCTGAGTTCTTCAGTTCCTCACCCATAGCTCAGCTTGGGCTCCCTGAGTTGGTCTTCAATCCACTATTCATTCCATCCCCACCCTTTTCTTCTTGATCTTCCTCCGCAGACCCTTTCCCAAACCCCTCTCCCTGAGTCTCCAGCCACTTACCCCTGCCTCACTTGCCGCAGCCCAGTGCCTCCTGGCTCTCGCTCCTGGTGCTACTGCCCCTTACCAGGCTCCCCAGGGCATAAGCAGCTGCATCCTGCACACTCACAAACAGCTGATCTGGGGTCACCCTGTCCAGGAGTCCTGCCCGAGTCAGTGTCCCCAGCACCGAGGCTATGTGGGGAGGGTGTCAGGCTCTGAGACCCTCAGTCCACACCGGGTCCTTTTCCCTCCCGCAGGTGTCCAGTCATTGCCCAGACACTGGGTCCCACTCTTCACACATCTCACCATTACACTGAGCCAGGAGGAGGTGGATCCTAGCATCTCGACATCGGCTGGCCAGCTGCAGGGATGGGGCAAAGGGGTTAAGATCAGAGGGTATGAGTGACATGCTAAGGGGTTTCTCCTCAACCTGCCCTCTCCCTCACCTGCACCACTTCTCTGGCCCCAGCAGCATCTGCAAAGGTGACACCACTGAAGTCTAGGACCACTACCCTGACAGGCTCAGCAACTAGAATGGGAGAAGACAGGAGTACCCAAGTGCCACCATGCAACATGCCCAAATCTTCCTTCTTGTCACCCCATCTTACCTGCAACAGTTGGGCCATCTGGCTTTGAAGTCTCCTATGAGTAAAGAAGGGCAGTCACCACAACCGAGACACAGCATGAACATGCACCCCTTGAGCACAAGGATCCCCCTCAGAACGCCCACCTGCCTCCCACTCCCCGAGGATCCACATCCCTCCTAAACCAAGCTCCCTCACCTTTTCTCCTTCTCCAAGCCCCAGGTGCCACTCCAGGTTGCGGCGAAACTGCCCACGGGTCCCAAAGTACAGTGGTGTTGGATAGCTCAGGATGCAGAGCCCTGGGACCTGGAGGAGCTAAGAGGTCAGAGGGTCAGAGAAACATCTGGGGCTAATCTTCCTTTCCTTCTTTGGCTGCAGCCCACCCACCTTGTGGCTTCCTCTGAGTGGCCTGTAGAGCTCTGTTCCCTCAGCCTGTCCAAGTGCCAGGCACTGCACCCTAGGGAAGAAGGTGGGGCCAGATTTCCAGCTTAGCCTGGCCTGGCTGGAGAGTCACCCCAAGCACCTCATTCTCTCCCCTGCCCTGACCTCAACTCCACTCATCTCTATGCCCACCTCTGGGTGCGGCAGACCACAGTCATCATGGAGAAGACAACACCCACAGCCAGGCCCAAATCCACATTCAGGGTCACTACAGCCACCCAGGTGACCATCCACACAGCCTGCAGGACAGGGATAAGGGTGGATTGCCCAAAAGAAAAGGCAGGCCATCACTGCTGGGGAAAGAGATCCAGGGCAGTGATTACCAAGGCAAGTGATGGGGAGAGATGACCCAGGAAGAAGCAGAAAGCATGACAGAGGGAAAGAACAGGTTGATTCAATGGGACACACACCAAATGTAATGACCTGCACCAGTTGGGAAGTTACAAATATTCAGGTCCAAGGGGTTCAAACCCCATCCTTTCCCTTGCCTGTGAGTAAAGCGTATTAGGAGTTACATTTGTTGGGGGAGTGGGTGGGTTGCAGAACTTAGGACCAGGACAGTTAGCTTTGGTTCAGGGCAGAGGCTGGGGATGCTAAGAAGATGGGAGGGGGTCATCTGGGGGTAATGGCATTTCTCACAAAGTCCACACGACTGATGTGCCATAGTTGTGGAAGTTCCTGCATCTGGAAGAACATCTGCCGCATGCTGGAGATGTTGATGCAAGCCAGGACAGCCTTGAGGCAGAGGAGGTGGGCTGACTACCTCGATGTCCTGGAATACAGCCACCCCTCCCAGCCATGCTCATGCCTCCTCTGCTCCTTACCTTGGGCAGATAGTAAAAGAAGGGCCCCAGCCACAGCAGCACCGACAGGACCACTATGCAGGAGAAGAGGCCTGCCAGCTAGAGGGAAGGAGGGATGGGTGCAAAAAAAGGAAGGGAGTCTCCCACCCCCACATGAGAGCTGGTCTCCCTGCCCACTCTGCCTTATCTTCCTCGGAAGTCTCCCTTCTCCCAAATCTCCTTCCACACATCCCCCTTCTTAATATTCTGCCGTTCACATCTAACCCTCCCCTCCCCCCAATTAATTAAATGCCCATTATTCACCAGTCTCCCTGTAGATGTCTGTTGTTCAAGTTCCCCAGTTTTGCAGCCCACCTCCACCTTAAAAGCCACTGTTGGGTTACCCTATAAGCAGGCTCACCACGTGCTTAGGGCACCAGCAAAGTAAGGGAAACCAAAATTATTAGGGGGAGACTTTGATATGTGATATTCCTTTTAAAAAGACAATGTCATTGTGTGAAAAAAATAATTTTATCTCAAGTTTATTTTATAGTTTTGTGTTTTTATTTTGAACCATATCTGGGGCACCATAAACTTTTTCAGTGCTTAGAGCCTACAGAGGTCTTACTGGAACATTGTTGTCTTCCATCTCTCCTATAATTCCATCCCCTTGCTCACCCTTTCTCACAGATCCCCAGTCTTCTCTATATAGGTGCCACCTGGGTATCTAACCATCTTCCACCTGTTTCTCCAGCACCACCACTGCCTGGATGGCCCATCCTTTCTCCTCATCCAAGGATGCCCTCTTACCTGTGTTTTCCCACCAGCATCCACCAGTAGACTGGTGGTGGCCAGCGTAGCCGAGTTGGGAAAGCAAGAGAAGAGGGAGGAGATGAGGTTGGAGGCACCATGTGCCAGGAGCTCCTGGAGGGATGCAGTGAGATGAAGTGGGAGAGACAAAGGCATGGTGGGAAGTCAAATGAGAGGGTTGGGGTCCACAGTCAGAGTCCCACCTGGTTGGAGTCAATAGTGTAGCTATACTTGTCTGCATAGATGGAGGCCAGGGAGGCGGACACCGCAAAAGTAACCAGTGCGATGGGCAGCGAGTCAGCCAGAATCCTGGGCAGCTCAGCCAGGTTGGGGAGGAGGGGTTGGGGAAATCTGGAGAGGGAGGGATCCATGGTGAGGAGGAGTTGGGTGCTTCAGTGAGATAAGGAAAGCAAAGAAAATGGGGGGTGGAGATAAGAAGAAGTGTTAGGTGGGAGAGGTGGGAGAAGAGAAAGCCGGCGTCTTTTCATTCTGTCTTACCCTCCAGGCAACAGCCCCACTATCTGGACATGGTATCTTGTGTCCAGAGAAGAGGTGAAGCAGAGCACGGAGGCCAGAAGCACCTGAGAAAGAGAGCAAAATGAAGGCATGGGAAGAGATGGGGTCCCTGGCAGAAGCTAGAAGGGGCTGACCATGAGAGAGGACCATAATGCAGGTCTAGCTGGTTGCAGGAGCCCAGCACCTGGGGGAACAGGGATGTGTTTGGGATGGGGGCCTGACAACTGATTTGGAGTGTGGAGCTGGGAAAGAGGGATGACATATGCCTGAGGCCACAGAGCGCTGGAGCCACCAAAGATGGTGGATATGAAGAGATGCCACTGAGCCTTCCAAAGAGGGAAGCTGGACGATATCTAGTGATATACTGGCATCTGTGGAGACGCGGAACGTTTATTTAGTGGGGTAGAGAGAGAAATGTCAGTGGAGGGTGGAGAGGAAGATGCACTGTGAATTACAGGGAAGGACCCTGGTGAGGACAGGTGTCAGAGAAGGTGCTGTGACCAGCAAGACCTCAAGGGAGCGCTGTAGGATGGTAGAAGGAACTCCAAGAGGTGTAGGGGGTGCTCCGTGAGAGAGGTGGGACAGTGTCGAGGGGGACTGTGGAAGGTCAAAGCATCCTCCTGCAGGAGGCCAGGGAAAGTGAGTGTGAGCTGGCCCTCTGTTCCGTGGCCTCTCTGCACTCCACCAGGGGGCGGCAGCCGCCACTTCCCACAGGACAGCAGGGTCTGTGCGGGCAGGGGACCGGCGCGCACAGCCATCCTCACCATGACGACTTCCCCCGGGATCGGCGTGGGTAACCGGTCTCGGAATCTCACGTTCAATTCCTTGACCGGCACGAGCAGCGCCAGGCTGAGCGCCGAGATGGTCAGTTCGGCCGGACTGCTCCGGGGCAGCGCAGTCAGCACGGCGGCCAGCGTCTGCGGGCAGGGGCTGTGAGCAGAGGGCCCCTTGCCAGGGTTCATGCGCCCCGGCGCGGGCCCCCCAGAGCGAGGCCCTCTCTCTCCAGTGCCACCAGGGCTTCTACCTCCGCAGCGCCCTCGGTCAGCCACGTGGCTCCAATTTCCTTTCCTGCGCCCTTGTCACACACTACCCCTCCACCCTCCGTCCTTCCTCCCTTTTCGAATTTCCCTATTCCCGGGACCTCTAGAAGCCCCTTCTCCTTTCTTCTCCCACCCCCACCTTGAAGAGAGAGAAGCAGCCGATCTGGCGCGGGAGGGACAACCCCAAGAGGCTCGGCAGCTGGGACACGAGCACGTGCAGCGCGACCCCGCTGGTCAGCGCCTTGACAACAGGCTCGGACAAAAAGGTGGACAGGACGCCGAGTTGCAGCACGAACATCCCCAGCTGCGGAAAAGACGTGCAGTCACCAACTAGAGGAGGAGCAAACCAACCCCGCGCACCTCCGCCCTCCCGAACCCAAGCTGAAGGCTGGTCCCTCCCTCTCCCCCTGCCCAATTTCCCGGGCCCCCCAGCAAGGATCCCCCGGGATCCTCCCCGGGTCCTCCCTCACCATCAGCGCCCCGCTCCCGAAGGCCACGGCTGCGGCTACCCCAACCCGCTGAGCGTCCAACTGCTCCTTCTCGGTTCCGCTCAGGTTCCCCACAAGGGGTTCTGGCACCAGCCGCTCAACGGCCGAGCCTGTCATGAGGCTGAGTATGGCGAAAGTTCCTACAGCCGGGGGGCAAATACAGACATCACCAGCTGTGCAGCCCTGGGCAGGGCAACAGCTCAGGCTCCACGCCCTGGGGCCGAAATGCTGCTGCCAGACTCCGCTCTCCAAGAAGGCTGCTGCCCGGTCAAGACTGTGGCGCGAAGAGCTGCACCAGCCGGCAAAAACTACTCCCTCCTGCAGATTCTCTGCCTACTGCGCGCCCCTTTTGGGGACCATGCACCTATTCTTCCCCTTTCAAGTCCCTGAGATGTTCATTTTAACCAAATTTCATAGGGAAAAAAGTTCAGGTAAACTCCCACCTCTTTGCACCCACTCTAGCTAGCTTTGCCTAGGTCAGTTTCCTAGCAGGACTGGGCAAGGAGGGAGGTGAAGATGGGAGAGGTGAACAGGGAAATGAGGAAGAAGGGAAATAACAGCCCCTGTCCATTTTCATCCCACAGGGAAGAAGAGTCATTGGAAGTTCCTGGTCACTCACCTGTGGACAGGTGTCTCCCAGTACCCAGCAAGCTGTAGATGAGGACGGGGAAGAAAGAAGTGTAGAGTCCAAACACCGGGGGCACGGAGGCCAGGAGAGCAAAGGCCATGCCTGGGATAGAAGTGGATGGAAAGGTGTGCTGTGGGGAGGGGGCCTTGTCCAACCTCCAGGACTAAAACGCCCTTCTCAGACTCTTAGGGGCTGGCATCAAGGATGCTAAATCATGCCTCATGAGGGAACTGAGGGGCTAATGGGCCTCAGTGGGCGATCATGGGGCAGACAAGGTCAGGAACGCTGTGGCCAAGTCCTGGGGGCCAGACGTTGTGCCTCTCTCCAGTTCTCTGAGCCAGAACCTGTCCAAGGCTTCTTGCAGGATTGTGCAGATGAGGGGAGATGGGGGTGGGGATCTGATGGAGCTCCACAGTCCTTACCCCAAACTTGGCCTCATATCCCTCTCTCCTACCCGCAGCGGCAGGAACCCACCATCTGCTCCTGGATTCCCAGCTCCCTAAGCCTCCTCCCGGAAGCCCTCTAGAGCTTGTGCTCCAGACAGACTGCTGTTAAGGCCTCTCACCCTGGGGCACGTGCACGATGCCCACGGTCACTCCGGCCACAGCATCTCCGAGCAGCCAGGCCCGCCAGCGGTAATGGGGCAGCCAGTGCAGCGGAGGCAGCAGAGCCTGTAGCAGGCGCCACGCCCCCGTCCCGGAACAAGCGCGAGTCCGCAGCCTCCACAGCCCGAAGAGCCGGGGAAAGCGGCGCTCTGCAGGTAGCTCCGGTTCCTGCTCTTCGCCCCCGAAGAGCTGATGGAACCGAGCCTCGGTGAGAGCTTCCCTGAGCCTGGTTCCCAAGGGGTACTTAAGGTCAGAGGTGTCCCCCGCGCCTGGGTAGGTCCTGGTGCCCTGAATCCCGCTCATTTTGCCCTTGGCCACCTCCAACTCCGCCCCGTCTTAAATACTCCTCCGCCAGCTAAGCCCTGAGTCCCGCCTCCCACGAAGCAGGGTCCAATCCGGCCCTGAGGACACCCTCTTTTGAGGACCTTCTCCAGTCTGGCGAGAGCCGCGGCTTGGAGAGGGAGAGTCTCTATGTTAGGGGTTTCTGCAGACATCCTTGGCCAGATCCGATCGCTGGCTCTGGGGTGGCTGTGGAAATGTGTAGAGATTAGAGAGAGAGAAGCCGAAGGCAAGCGCACCCCGACACTCAACACCCGCTATTTACCTCTCCTTAGACTTTTCACTTCACTCCCGGTTCCTTTCCCCATCCGCACCTTGGGAGGAGAGAGAGGCTGGTTCCTCTTGGGTCCTTCCCTGAGCCACTACATTCTCCCAGCCAGAGCAAAAAGTTCAGCACCCATCCCGAACTTCACCCAGACCCACATCTTCATGGGGCACAGCTGGCTCCAAGAAGCAGTTTCATGTCCTACTGACATGGAATGCAGCCACATGTATTGATTGGACAGGGATAATGACAGAACCTGAACCCACACCTTTGTGAGGAGCGGCTGGGCCTAGTTCAGGGCCTCAGGGGAAATATTGAAACCACAGGAAATTTTTTTCTTAGGAACCAAAAAAACGGAAGCACCATTTATCACATTCAAATGCTTTTCACAGGCCAGGGGCAATGGCTTATGTCTGTAATCTCAGCATTTTGTGAGGCCGAAGCAGGTGGATCACCTGAGGTCAGGAGTTTGAGACCAGCCTGACCAACATGGTGAAACCCTGTCTCTACTAAAAGATACAAAAATTAGCTGGGCATAATGGCAGGTGCCTGTAATCCCAAGCTACTCGGGAGGCTGAGGCAGGATAATCGCTTGAACCCAGGAGGTGGAGGTTGCAGTGAGCTGAGATGGAGCCACTGCATTCAAACCTGGGTGACAGAGCGAGACTCCATCTCAAAAAAAAAAAAAAAAGCAAATGCTGTTCACAAAGTAGGCATTCAAAAGCACATACGTGGTTAAACTAAGTGCAAAGGAATCAGTCACCCACCTCATGTGTACCTATGGTTCCTAAACAAATACAAAGATTCTAACTCCAGAATCCTGCTGTTGGCCACGATCCCCTCCTCCATTCGCAAGAATCTTCGGCACCCCCTCCCCATGATCCTCTGGTCCCCCAGTCCATGACCCCAAAGCCCTGGGGGTGGGGTGCAGTGAGGGTGGGTCTCCCCTCTTCAATTCCTCCTATTGTTCCACAGAAGTCTTATCTAGGCGCTATGTCCTGTCCCTCCCTTAGGAATCCCTCCCCCTATTGTCGGCCAAAGGGACCTCGGGCCCACAGGGAGGCTCCAGCTCTCCTCCTCACCCTCCCACCCCAGCAATCTATTGTCTGTTGAGGAAACCCAAGTGCACGTGACTGAGCCCAAGAGACCAACGGATACAGTGGACTCGGAGATGCATAAGGACCCAGGACGGCATCTGGACATGGCTGCGTGAATGTTTGGCTCGCTCTGGTCCAGCAGCTCTCCCAGAAGTTGGGAGGGGCGAAGATCCCCTTGGGCTGTCCCTTCTTGGGTCCATGGCTTGAAGAAGAATCCCCTTCTGCTCACTATGAACATGGCTTATGACCTCACAGAGAGCAAAGATAAGGAGACCCAGTGCCAGGAAAAGGCTGCAGCCCCCAGGATCCTCTCCACCTTCCCAACTTCCCTCAGCTGAACATGGCAGCCTCAGAAGCAAAGGTACATTGGCATTTTGTGCTTTAGTATCTGGGTGTTGGGGGAACGGTGAGAAGTCACACTGCATTGGGCTTTCTGGTGGGGTCTAGACAAGAGGGTGGGTAGGGAAAAAGAAGGGCTGGGTAAAGATGATACATCAAGAATCTAGGGCTGGCCAGGTGCAATGGCTCATGGCTATAATCCCAGCACTTTGGGAGGGCAAGACAGGTGGACCACTTGAGCCCAGGAGTTCAAGACCAGCCTGGGCAACATAATGAGACCCTAACTCTACAAAAAAAAAAAAAAAAAAAAAAGAAGAAGAAGAAGAATCTAGGGCTTTCCAGTGGTTCCATGCCTCAGTCTTTGTCCCTCAACTGCTGCAACTGCAGTTGAGGGATAAAGATAGCAACATCTTTTATCTTACACCCTGTCCCCTTCTCCTTTCACCAGACCCCCTCCTCCAATGGCTGGGGCCAACTGGTCTCTTCCATATCACTTCACCCCACCTACCCCGACTACGGCCTCCCCTTCCCTCTGCCAAGACAGCAGCCTCAGTGATATAACAAAACCTTTATTCTCAGAAAACAGGAAAAACAAAATTAAAAAACGAAACCAATAATTTCTATCTGGCCCTTGCCCCAGCCCTCCCACCCACCCACATGTCCTCCTTTTGGGGGAACCATGATGCATGCATAGGGGTGGGAGCTGAAGGAAACTGTGTTCCTTGGGCAGAAAAAAGTCCTTGGGTCTAGGTGCTCTCCTCCAAGTTGATATCCCTCCCAGCCTTGCCCACCCTTCCTCCAGACACACCAAGAAGGAAGAATTCTGGAGCAGTGCCAGAAGGACTGCCCTGAAGCTTCTTGGGGAATAGGCAGCTGAGTCAGCACCACCCCCATGGTTTTCACCAGTTACAGCTCATCTTCATCCAGCTTGGCAAGTCTGGCTTGGCAGGGAGGGGTGTTTGGAGTTGGAGAGACTGGAGGAGAGTCATGGGGAGCCTGAGGGATGTCACTGAGGGCCTGAAGAAAAGATTCAAGTCAGAGGATTAAAAAGGCCAGAAATCTACCCTCACTTCTCTCTTTTCAGTTTAAGTCCCTAGCCAAGCCACCTCCTCTTGCCAGATATCTTAGACTGTCTGAGACTATCAGCTTCTCCAGAGTTAAAATAGAGGGGAGAAGGGTAAGGGATGGGAAGTAGGAAGGACCAGAAAAAAGGAATGATATGGGGAGCGAGCTTGGGGTCCCAAAACAAGAGAGGCTCTCCCCTTTTTATGCCTACAATGAGGGAGCTCTCTTCATCATACCTGTTTATCCAGGGGCAAGGGGGCTCTGGCTACCTCCCCTTTGGGTGACAGCAGCAGGGAGGGGAGAGAGCCATTGATGGGTGTGTGAGTGCTGCCCTGGGCCTGATCTCCAAGCCGAATTCTCCCAGGGCTCCCCACTCCAGGGCCTCCTGGCCGCCCCAGGCTGTTGGTCTGGCTCTCCCGTCTCTGGTACTCAATGGGTGACTGCAATGCTGGAGCAAAGAGAGGAACAGGAGGGTTACTGCAGAGACAGGTCTCTTCCCTAGGGCCTGTATCATTCTCCTACTTTGCCCTCCCTCCCTGTCAGCCAATGTAAATTGCTTGGGGTTTTAGGGGATTCTATCAAATTTTGAGCTAGCAGTAGAAAAGGGGATGGGCCATGGTCAGAGGGTAGGTACTGGAGACTGGGCAGTGAGGGAGGGATTCAGGAGGTCAAGGGGCTGACGGAGCCCATCAGGGAGAAAGGATGAAAGCTTCACCGTTGAGGAAGTCCCGTTGGCTTTCCAAGATCTGAGCCACATGCTTGATCCAGGCCTGACTGATAGCAGGGTCTGCAGCCTGCAGGACATAGCGCTGGATCCCACCCTCTGGCCCTCTGGAGGTCAGTGCAAAGCGGCAAGGGTCACCTTGGAGGTTCCCCTCCAGTCCCAGGCAGCTCACCTGAATTGGCAGATAGGAGACAGCCCCCAGATTCCTCAGACCCTCTCTGGCTCCTCTGAGACATCCTCTCAGAGGCTTCATGCCTTCTCTGTCCAAGCCCTCTCTCGTGGCCCCCTTCTCACCTTAATGCTGCTCTTGTATACATATCCAGGCTGTGTTCCACCTCTCACTCCTCCTCCCAGGGCTTCACTGAAGATGATGATTTGCTCAAAGAGGAACACGCGCCTCTCTCGACCTCGAGAAGACAGCAGCCCCCCAGCCTCAGGCTCGATGACCCAGAAAGTGTCCTGGCCCAAGAGCTTCCCCTGAGCAGTCAGTTTGCCCTGAAACGAAAGGGATAGTGGCTTTGGAAAAAGAACAAGAAAAAGGGCAATTCTCTGCTCCTCCCTTCCTCGCCTGACATGCTCAACCAACCAACCAACCATGGGGTCAGCCCCAGGAGAAGACAACTCCCCATAAGGACTTCCAGAGTGCTAGCGCTGGGGCAGAAGAGCATCGGGCCTCCAGTTTCTTGCCCTATCTCCGTACCTCAAATCCCCGCAATCTCCCCAGCGTCATCATATCGTTGCAGCGCTTGGGCACAAAGCACATGACCTCCACAGCTTGCTGGGACACAGGTGAGGGAGGCACATTGTTGGGCGAAGAGAGTCATTATTGGGAAAGAGGCCTCCTCAGCCAGTTGCCTCTTCAGACGGTGTCTCAACCCCAAACAGCCTCCCCCTAAAAACCAGACAGCTGTAAACCACCCAAGGGGCTGGGGGAACCCATGATAGACTAGGAGGATAAGGAGCACATGGTGTGTCCTGGAAGATCTGGGGGTCCTCACCTCTAGCTCCGCAGTATCCATCCCAGCTCTATTGTAATACTTGAGAAAATCCTAAGACAGAGAGAAGAAATGCTCAGGGAGGTCGTGAGGACACCCTTAGAAGCTCTCACATCCTCCCCTGAGGACACCAGTGAGGGCCCTCAGGAAGTCTGGGGAAGCCTTAAGAACCCTGGGGTGATGAATGATGAAACGGCTGTGCCAGCCAGCTGTGCCCCCAGGAAAAAGGGGGTCCTGACCTTGAGCAGCAGCTGGTATTTCATGATCCGCTGCACAGGTTTGATGAGGAGGTCGTTCAGCTGCAGGCGGTGCCCCAGCTGCTGCCGGAGCTCCTGGGGACAGGGACAGGGTGGTTATGCAGCCTGGAAAGTCCCAGTTCTGTCCTCCTTCCCACCAAGACATCTTAGCCACTGACCTCAAAGTAGCTGTCCCCAAACTCTGACACCACATGCTCTGACTTGGGCTTATTCTGACAGTACACCACATACATATGCAGCCGGCGCTCCTAACAGGGGTAATGTTTAAGAGAGAGTAGGGTGGGCAAGGAGGGAGGACACATCTCCAGAGAATCCCAGCCCATTCCTAAGCCCCGCCCCCTCAAGCCTCACGTGTTTGATGAATAGCTGAGCCAGCCAATCAGGATCTTTCAAACACCGCTGTAGCTCTTGCAAGAAATAGCTGGAGGGGTTGGTAGAGAAGGGCAGGTCAAATACATTTCAGAACCCCCACCTCGCCCACTCCCTGCAATTTCGAGCTGTCTGCCTGGTAGTGTGCCCTACAAAACTTCTCCAAACATTCCTTAAGTCGCAGTGGGCTGATATTGGGATACAGGGACAACCAGATGAGGGCCCCTCCCCAGCAACTAGCTGTCAGGGTTCCACCACTCACTCTCGGTGCCACTCATAGATTTGCTGGATGTTCCCAAACACAATCCTGTCACGGCCTCGAAGACTTTCGGGGACCCCCTGAGCAGCCATGGTGGCCATGTAACCCTGTGGGAAAGTTGAGATTGGGTCATGAGCATGTGGTGGCCCCCTCCCCACCTTAATGGTGCTCCTGTACACATATCCAGGGTGTGTTCCACCTCCCCCTCCCTGGTGGGAGCCGCCCTGCCCCCAGAGTAGGAAGGTCCAGGAGTGGGGAGACTTGAGAGGTGAGACAGAGGAGCACCCAGGCACCTCCTGAAAATAGCCCTGGGCAGATGGAAAGGCAGGCAGAAGGGGCTGGGAAGGGGTAAAGGGAGCTACCTCCACAATCTGCCCCAAGTCATCCACGTACATTTTCTCTGTTTCTACCAGTTCACTCAGGACGTACCTAGGATGAAAGCAGGAGGAGGCCCCCACTTCAGTGTCGGAGCTCATCCTTGGTTCAACCCGTTCCTCCCTCCTCCCCTTCATCATCATAGCCAACCTTGGAGGAAATTCCATCTAAAATGTGAGGGACAGTCTTCTGGAAGTTGTGCAACTGCAGGGAAGGGCTGTGGACACTTACATACTCCTTTCCAGAGCCTTCTTCTTCTGTTCCGCCTCACTCTCAGGGGCTTGGGACAAAGCCTCCTCTTCAGGTGGCTGGAAGGAAAGAACATCCTAGGGTGAGCAAATGAATGCCCCTTGAGTGAAAGGAGCCTCCCCAGAGCCTGTCCTCACACCTGCGTCTTATCTCCAGGGCTGTCCAACAATGTGGTCAGCAAGGTCAGTTCCGGCAGCTCCTCTCCTGTGGCTAGAGCTGGCTCCAACATCCAGTTCTGGGGGCCAGAAATCAAGTGTCAGAGGTCAGGGACAGTAGCTGGGTAGCCCCAACCTGCCCTCTCTGCCAGTGTCCTTCATAGATGTCCCCACATGCTTTGGTGCCATTCCCTGCTCACCTCATATAGTCCCGCCTGACGACTGTCTGCCTCAGTTTCCACACTGAGACAGTGTTTGGAATGATCCAACCATCTCCTCAGGCCACTGACGGGCCCTGGGGGGCCTGGGGAACAGGGGCCAGAGCTGAGGCCAGAGCTGGGGCCAGAGGGGGCAGCCAGACCGGAGGCAGCAGAAGCTGATATACTCCCCTCACTGCCAGCAATGGAATAGGATTCTAATGGGAGGAAAAAGAGAGGAGGTGATAGACCTTGCCCCAGCTCCAGACTCAGGGTCCCCAGGGAACTCCCAGGGTCTTCTCTCCATGATGCTCAGCCTCTCTCTCCAAGGGCTCACTCTCTTGCCATCCTCATTTGAGCTGCCCCCAGGATAGAAAATTTCACCAGGGCACCCCTGGGAGAAAGCACAGTAAGGTAAACACCTGGCTCTCCAGACCTGGAACCCCCAGTTACATGTGGAGGTTCCCCATATCCTGAGCATAGCATAGATATGGGGGTGGGGGCAGCCATCTGGGCAGACACTGGAAGCTGGGGGTGGCCATCTGCTCTCCCACAACCCTCCCCCTTTCAATGGGTACAGACCATTCTCTGGGAAGGGGGGAGGATGAGCTGGGTCCATCTGCCACTCCCAGTCCCCTCCTCCACCAATTGCAGTAATCACTATAAAAAGAAAAGACCTGCAGCCCACCTCCCCAACACATGCGTAGATCCAATAGAGGAGGCCAGTGAGGAGGGTCCATCAGGGTTATCTATGGCCTGGGCTCAGGGACAGAAGAGCTGTGATTCCTTATAAAGCCCCTTGTAGAACCACCTCATTCTCATTCCTCCATTCCCCTGTCCCTCTTCAGAAGTAGATTCTTAGCAAAAGGTTTGAGGAAAGATAATCGGTTCTAGGCCTAAGGGGATTGTGGATGGTTTTTTCTCAAACCCATTTGACTAAGGGAAAGAGATGAGTTCCCTGCCCCTTCCCCAATTTCCATAACTTGAACTAACATAAATTTGGAGGCAGAAGGGACCTTAGGGATCACTTAAGAAACCACTTTGCTGGAAAACGCATACAGTCTCCAACCCTAAATCCCAAGGGCCAGGGCAAACAGATGCCCTGAACCCCCAGCCCGCCCCCCACTCAACACTGGGCCCTTTCGACCTGGCACTCACCACGTCCCCCCCGGGCGAAGCAGCAGCCGCATTTTGCCAGCACTTTTCGGATCACACGGGGACAGGCACAGCGACCCCCTTTGTGCCCCCCCCGCATGGCGCCCGGGCCCCCCCGCGTCCCCCACCCGGGCCGGCCATGCAGGGGGACTCACGGGGGGCGGGGCGGGGACGGCGCTGGGCGCACACCCCCCCTCCCTCCTACCCCGGTCCAGGCTGTGGGAGTGGGGGAGGGAGGGGACCGGGTGGAGGTGTCCAGGGGTAGGCGGAAGTCTAGTCTTGAGGCGGGCTGGGGGTCTCTAGAGAGAGGGAGGCGCAGGGCCCGGCCGCCGGGCTGGGCGGGGAGGGTTTCCGGAACCCTGTCGGTGCGGGGGCCCAGGGTCCAGATGTCCAGTGGAAGTGGGAGGGATGGTAGGGGAGGCTGGGCCGGGATGCGGCAGCGGCTCCAGCTGTCTCCGGCCTCTGGTTGGGGGTGGCTCTAGGCCCGGGCCGGGGAGGAGGCGAGAGCCGACCCCCGAGCTACTGGCGCTGTGCGGGTCCCAGCGGAGCGGCGAGCTGAATAACAGGCCTGGCCGCGGGGCCGCCACGGGGCGGGGCCTCTGCGGCCCAGCTCCGCCCTCTCCATCGCGTTCCCCCTCCTGCCTGCGCCGGGTTCCCGCCCGGATCGCCCCTCCCCCAGGCACCACCACGTTCCCACTCCACGTCCCCAGCGCTTTTTTCCCTCCCCAGCCTGGGCTCCCCCGCCCCGGGGTCCCCCTCCCTCCCGCATCGCGGGCTCTTTGGAGCGCTGGGGTCGGGGTTCAGCCTGTCGGCAGGGTCTGCCCAGGTCTTCCCTTGGCCTCTGAGGTGAAGGAGCACTCGGTGGATGGGGCCTTGGCCTGTGCGAAGATGTTCTGGGTTTGGGGTTGTCCCCGGCCGCGTGGACAGAGGACCCCCGGTACGGGGTGCGTGTATGGGGAGCCTTTTGTGGGTGAACACAACCCAGATGCCGCCCTCTCTCAGAACCCTTCTTTCCTCCAGGCCCCGGGACTCCAGCTAAGACTAATCGCCAATTAAGGCGAAGTCCTGGAGCCCGGGCTGGCGAGGGGCCAGGGGTGGGGCGCGGGGACACTCTGCCTGCGGGGGCTCGGTACCGGCTGGGATGGGGGACACACTTTGGACTCGAGGGCGAGAAGAGTGGAGGTCTCTGCGATTAAATGGGTCTCATGCAAATTAGATGCGAACTTTATGCTAATAAAAGCAGAATATTTTTGAATTCGCCACTTGGCGCAGGATAGCAAACTGCCCCACCCCACCCCCAGCTTCTTACCGGGCTGCAGAGCCCAGGCGAGGACCTCATCTTCGCGGTCCCTTCTGTGATCTCCCTCCGTACGTTCAGACTCTGGCTCGGTATCCCCCGACCCTAGGGGGCTTCTCCTCGGGGGCTGCGGGGACAGAACCACTGTAAGGAACCCCCCTTCCTAGGCAGCCCTGACCTCCCCTTTCCCCTTCTCCCACCTGTCAAAATCTACATTATTATAAAAAGGTCGCCCAGAACGGGGCTAAGGCCCTCGTAATGGAACTCATGTATTCCTGCGACTGCCCCGCAGAACTCGTTTTCGGATAAATTGAGTTGTGGGTGCAGCCCTCCTGAAGGCCCCGAAAGACCCCCGACCCCACCACGGGCCCCCATTCTTACCCCCTCCTGCCCGGGGAGGGCGCATGCGCGCAGCATGCTCCCCATGACCCCCAGTATCCGGTCAGTGCGGCCAGGGGCGGGGCGGTCCGGGGGCTTCATACTGAACCCCCACTCAGCTCCACGTTTCAGGGTCGAGGGGGCACGGAAGCTGGGGGGCTTTGAGGCCTGCTCTCGTCCAGGGAGTTGCTGCTGTGGAATCCGCCCCCTGCCCGGCTCCGCCCCCACTCCCACCCCAGCCAAACTTCGCAAAGGGGGTAGGGTTGTTCTTTTCTCTACAACGATGGTTGAACAACAAAAAAACACCCTCTTAATACTAATTCCAACATCGAAGTGTGGCCCAGGGTTTCGCAGTATTACTACAAAGCCCGCTGGTGCATCCCGTTCCCCAGGTCCTCAGGAGGCAGAGGGACTGGGAGGGCACACAGGGATCTCCCTATCACCCCCTCTCCCCTTTCCAGCAGGTCCCTCTCCCCACCCCACCCCCACCCAGTCCCTGGAAAAGAACGGGTGTGGCATGAAGAGTTGCATATTTTACTTTATTTTTATTAAATTAAAAGCTACAGTCTGGCAGCGATTCCAGAACAGGGTAAGGAGGTTCCTCACAGGGGTCAGAGAAGAGCGGAGAAAGACAGACTGACGGAGACTGGGACACAGGAAAGAAAGGACAAGGTTAAGGGAGAACTGTATCTGATGAACACACACAGCCGGCTCCATGGGGGGTGGTGGGGAGCTCATATCAGCCCAATTCCTCCTCTCCAGCACCCTAAGTTCAGCGGTGAAGCAGTATGTGGGGGCAGTTGGGAATCAAGAGACCCTCCCTTCCCCACCCTAGGTCCTTTCTCTGCTTGGTCATGGAGCACAGCACACCAGAAAAAGCCAAGGGCATTGGAGGGGCAGGGAAACGGGGAGTATATGTACACCGGGAGTGGAGAACAGAGCCTTGGAGGTCGGCCTCTGCCAGAAGGGAGTGGCTCACACTGCATTGAAACACTTGGCCGGTGGGGGATGGGGGAAGGGATTGCCCCCTCCCTCTCAGAACGCCCTTCCCAGTCAGACAGGTCCCCTACAGGTGTGTTGTGGGGGGCGGGGGGCAGAGAGGAGAAAGAGGCTTCTGCTGGGTCCTAGTAGAGGTGGACAGCAGGGGCCTTGGCAAAGGCGATGTCCTTCAGTCATCTGTGATACCCTTCGCTCTCAGCTCCTCTTGCACCCGGGTCAGGTAGGTAGGGTCTGGGTACCCAAACCTGGGAGCAAAGAGAAATGAGGGTGAGGGTTGTTAGCTGTTGGAACTTGCTATTATCCCCATGCTCACCCTTATTCTAGGTGACTCAGATACCTCCCCACCTCCCCTAAGGGAGGACACCTCCAAACCCAAGATAACTTAGCCCAATTCTGCTTATTTTTGTAGGCTAAGCTGGGCACACCAGGACCAGGTTGAATGTAGGAGAAACTGAGACGGCTGAACAGTTTGGAAGTGGTCCTCTCCAGTTAGGAGGCTCCCAGAGCAAGGGGTTGGTGGGTCCCTCAGTGGAAATGGAGGAAAGGGGAGGAGCCAAGGGAAAGGAAGTGAAGAGGGGTCGCACAGCTGGGGTCCCCCTGTGCAGCTGGTCTTGTGGTGGATGTCATTCCAGGTGATGACATTCGGTCTCCCTGTGGTCATGGACGTGCCGATAGTGAAGGTGAGACGCTGGTCAAACGCCTTGCGGAACAGGGTCAGCACCTTGTTGCCCTCAGGGCAGTCCGGGAGGTAGGCCACCCGTGTGGTGCCAGGATACCGAACTCCTGGGTTTGGGTGTTCAGCCTAGGAGGAAGGTGAAGCATAGTGGGCAGTGAGCAGCCAGGCATCCTAAGGCCCAGATACCAGTGAAGCATCATCCAGGCCAGTCTCTGTCTGAGCATCCCCAGCTAATGCGGATAGGGCAGCAACAGGCTGACAGCTTTCCACAGAAGGAGAGATTATATGGCCTCGGCAGCAAGAGCCTGTTTCAGAGCATAATCTTTACGTGTTAAGAGGTTTTTTCTGCTGTCTCAATCCCTCAAGTCTCCATTCAGCAACAAATAGATTCTCAGAAGTGATGGAAGGTAGCTGGTCCCTATACTCCAGACAACTCAGCAGAAATGTGAAGACAGAATAATCTATCTTTCAGCCTTCCCTTAACCTGAAAATATTCCTAATGTTTCTGCCACTGTCTAACCTGTTCCATTTTCCATCAGTCTTCTCTGCAGCTTCTTCAACCCTCTGCAGCCAGAATTGCACATTACTCTTTGTCCAGCAGGAAGACACCTATAGGCCTTGACCACTCCCGTTTTTACCAAGTGATGTTCCTGGCTCTGTTGGGTTGGTCAGATCCCTTCCTATTGTGCCTCCCTGCCCCTAAGCCACCACCTCCACAGAATTTACCTCTGCCAAGATGTCAGCACAGTATTTGTGTTCATCAAGGAAGTAATATGCAATTCCTTCTTCTCGTATCTGACTTGCTTTTTTTTCCTAGCTCATATCTGATTTTCACATGTGCCTTGGGATCACAGGGATGGAAAAGCTGGGCCTCACAGGGACCTCCTAGGTCTAGGGCACTGAGTAAGAGGGCATAGTGGAAGACAGCAAGACTGTCTCACATCTAACAAGCACACTCACCCTCACCCGGTTTTCCTAGGTCAGAGCCTGGGGAGAGCCAAAGGGTAAGGGCGGGCCATGGTCTTCTTACCCCCTGGACACCGGGCGGGAAGACGTACTGGATGACAATGGTGCCATACTTCTCATAGCTGGGTAGTAGGAGGGTGGCGTCCTTAGAGACCAGCATCCGCCCATTCTGGGGCTGGTTGCCCACCAGCTGCCCATAGAAGCGGCCGCACATGGGGCAGGCCTTTTTCACCTGCAGAGCCCGGGTGATGCAGCCCTCGCAGAATGAATGCCGGCACTTCTCCAATGTCTTGGCATTCTGGATCTCCCCCAGACAGATGGGGCAGGTGCTCTCCTGCTCTTCTGCCTCCTCCCGAAGGCGAGGAGGAAGAGGTGGGGGCAGGGGGGGAGGAGGAGGGGGGAGCCCCCGAGCCCCTGGGGGCAGAAGTGGGGCTGCTCGGAGAGGGGGTGGGCCTGCGCGGTGCATCTCAGGGTGCTCCCCTCCACCCCCCAGAGCCAGGCAGCCCATCAGCTCCCCCTGCCTCTGAGCTTTCTTCAGCTCTTTCTCTGCCTCTTTTAGCAGCCCCTTAAGAGCCTTCCGGGCTAGGTAGAGCCCATTGGGAGGGGCCGGGGGAGGGCCCTGTGGGGAAAGCTGGAGAACATAGATGTCAGAAGTCTCGCCATCTATGAGGATGGACACACGATGCTCCTCCCGAAGCCGGGCCAGCCGGGCTGGGGTCTCTTTGCTCAGGAAGTCCCACACAGGCTTGGAGACAGTCACTTTGTTCTTGCAGGTGCCTCCACAGGCTGCCATTCTGGACAGGACGAACGACACTGCCCCCAGGGTGAAAGGGACTCAGGGTGGGGGGTCCCCATTTGACAAGTATCAGTGCCTCCTACTTCAGGTTCCTTCCAAACCCTCTATTACCTCTGTTTTCTCAAAGCCTAATCCCCAACCCTTCCCCCAAATTCATATTCTCTCTCCCCTTATCTTCCAAACCCAGCGCCCACTGAAGAGCAAAAAAGTTTCCAGAGCTGTATTATCATCTAAGCCAAGTATCAGTCTTGTTTCTCCTGTCATTTCTCCCAGATCATAGAAACAATTTGCCCCTCCCACTTCTGGGGGGAAAATGGGCTCTTTAAAGGGGAGGGAGACTTTTTGCCCCTCCTTTTTGCTTACTTTGATCCTGAAGAGCTTAGAATTGGCATGCAGGCTCACTCTTTTTTCCCTGCTCCCTACTTGTAGGTCGTGTGAGCTGGTAGGGCGGAAAAAAAGGAAGGAAAGTGAGAAACCCCTTCTCCCAATTCCCATGGCCCCCAACCCAGCAGCCCATGGAACAGAGACAGAAACCTGGGTATAGGTTACTGAGAATGGTAACATGGAATGAAAGAAACCAGCTTAAGGGTGAAAATTGAGGATCCCTTGTGGGAGAGATACCTGGGAAGCCCATGGAAGATGATGGCAGCAGAAATCCTTCTATTTCCACTCAGCTGACCAGGACTGGGAATAGGGGAAGGGTAAAAAGTTATGATGGCAAATGTTACCATTTCCCTCAGCCAACCCAGAAATAAAAACTCCACTTCCATCTCCTCTCTCCTCTGCAGAATTCCATCATCAGCTTCTCCCCAAGTTGCTCAAGAAGGAACATGCTAACCTTCCTCCTTTCTTCCCCAGCTCTGAGGCCCCCAAGAAAGCCTAGGGCACACATAAAAGATGTCAGGAAAGAAAACACCCACACAGGTGGAGGTCTTCTTGCCACCTCCCTCAGATCACATGGACCGGAATATTTCCTATGCTCTCCAACTCCTCCCCTGCTCCACGTTCCCAAATAATTCAGCCCCTATTGCCAGGGAGCCTTCCTTGAGAGCTAACTCAGTCCCTTCTGCTGAAGTCTGTTAAGGATGTGAACAAAGTGGCAGCAGCCCCTGCAATAACAAAGTTCTCATTGTCACCTTTTAAACCCAGCACAGGCAGGGCTGTCTGTCAGCTCCCAAGTCTGGCATTTAGGGAGGGGCGGGGCTCACACAAGGGCTCAGCTGGAGGGGCCTGATGTTTCCCCTGAGCCTGGTCGCATTGGGCTACCAGGCTGTACCCACAACACTTCCAAATGCAGCTCAAACAGAAAGAAGGGCCATTAGTGTGACCTCCATTCAATGACTGATCCAAAAAGGAGCAGCTGTCCCTTCATGCCTCCATCATCGTCCCCCAAGGCCAGATGCACCTCGAGATTCATAAAGTGAAAATGGAACCCTAGAGTCTCAGCCCATACAGTGTATCTGCGCTGCAACACCCCCCTCCCCATCACAGGGGACCCAGGACCTAGGTGTCCTAGCTCCAAGTCCTGCTGGCACAGAAAAGGGAGGCGGGGCCACAGTTTAGGGTGGGTCTGTGATTCCTCTGTGGGAACCCAGGCCGGACAAGGGACAGTCTCTCCCTCTAGATAGAGGCCAGAGGGAGGGACAGCCCGGAAGGGCAAGGGTCCCTGAGGGCATCCACTGAGGCAGCTCCCGCCCTACCCCCACGGCCTCCTCCAAGACCCGACCCGGAACCAACTCCCCACATCCCTCACTCGCCAAAGCCCCCGGATCCCCATTGCCGGGCGGGGATGCATGTCGGCCCCGATCGCAGCCCTCAGAAACCCCGAATGGAGGCCAAGGCTGGAGGGTGCTAGAAAGATGATCGGCCGGGCACGGAGCGGGGAACCCGGAGCCGCGCGCGGGGAGGGGAGGTGGAGGAGGGGGCGCCGGGGGAGCGAGGGGCGTGTGAGGGGTGCGAGCGGGGCCTGGGGGGCGCGCGGTGGGTGTGGGGGGCGCCGGGCTCACCTACCTCTCGTCAGCGCCGCCATTGCCGGTCACATGACTGAGGCTGTTGCTGGGATGACGGTCCGGGCCTTAGCAACAAGGGGGGGGGGAGACCCCGAAAGGTTGGGGGTTGCAGGGGGTGCAGGCTGAGGGAAAGGGAAGGAGGGAGGACAGCACCCTCTTTCCCCTCACAGGTGATAATCACCGTTCCTTTGACCCCCTTCTATCCGCAAGCCCCTGCCCTTCCTCCCCAAAACAAAAATGGAGGCGCTGTTCCAGTCTTTGGAGGGAGGGGGTGGCGTCATGGAACTGAGGGTAGGAGGTTAAATCCCTGGAGACGCCACCCTTCTCGCTCCCCGCTCCCGGCGGAGCACTCTCCCTTTTCTTTCCCAGCCAGCTGCGTAGCAGCTCCGGGGAGCTGGTGGTGGATGGGTGGGTGAAGTGTTGGTGGGTATATGGGGATTCGGGGGGGAGGGCGGCAATTTTTTGAATCCTTATGGTAGAAGGGCCTTTGAGGAACAATGTGGGATGGGAAGAGTCATAGTAAAAAAAAAAGCATTGGTTTTAAAAAATAAACAAATCCGGGTACTAAACTATTTCAATCCCCTCCCTCATCTGCCTCTTTCTAGATTGTTACCTCCTGTGACCCCCACAACCTGCTCTCAGTTGGTCATTGGTAAGTGCCTCTGATTTTTCTCTTTCCACAAACAGGGATATGGAGGCTGGTGCAGAATGGGAAACGAATACATTTTTTAAAAAATGGCTTGAGGTGGTGGTAGTGTCAAGTGTGTATGGTTCAAATAGAGTTAAAAACTCTCAGGAAAAAAAAAAAAAAGCTCTGCTCTGCTTCCCACATCAAGCAGTCTCTGCCCAATTCAACTCACTTCCCTAGGGCCACATCAAGCCAGGTTTTTCCACCAGCCAAAAGACTTCCTCAGCCAAGACAGGAATCTCCCAAACTGGCAACAACCTCTATTCATCCACCCCTTTTTCACTCCCCCTCTAGACTGGAGAGCTGGTCACTTTCTTCACTTTCCCAGGACTCTGCTGTACTCTTCCTTCCCTCCAGGAAGAAGACAGCTTTCCCAGGAAGCCTGGGGGAATACTGGATTCCGTTTCTTTTAGCTGGTGGGCTGAGAGGCCTACTCACCTTTACAAAGATGGAGTGTTAGCAAGCCCAGAACTCAGGGAAGAGGCCCTTCCCTGGCCCTCACTACCTCTGACCTCCCACGAAGTTGAAGACTTAAGTTTTCCATTCCGGTGCACACCCTTCACAGCTTTTTAAAAAACGTTCCCAGCCATCTGTCTAGAAACCCACATCCTTAGTTAGGGGCCCAACACCTTGAACACCAGAATTCTTCAGCTGGTCTCTGCACCCTTAAGCACAGGCTTCCTCAGAGAAGTAAAATTAAAAAAATTAAAATAAAATAAAAAAATAAAAAGTTCTGTACAGGAATTTGGATTGAATAATTTATTCCCTGTATTATGATAGTAATGGGAGCAAATACACAATTTTTTATTAATAAAACAAAAAAAGATGAAAAACAGAAGCAACAAATGAAGACATCCATACTGCCCATAATACATCAGCCATGCGATCAGAAAACCCATTTCTAAAGAACAACGGTTGCTGGTGTCCGAGTTTTATTGCATTCATCGGGGGAAAGGGAGATGGTTGGAATGAAAAAGATCCATCAGTCTTCTGACAGGAAGATGTTATAAGGGGGCTCCAACCCCAATGGGTACGCCTCTTGTTACCACCTTTGGAGCAGAAGATGAAGGGGAGAGAGAGCTTCTCCCTATGGCCTCATGGCTTCTTGTGAGACAGATCAGTCCAGCCAGATACAGAGCAAAGCAGCTTTGCATCACCACAGGCCAGTTGCTGGTGCCCACCTTTATGTTTAAAAAAAAAAAAGTGGAAGCCTCAAGAGGGATGGAGGATACCAAGAAGAATGGGTGCCTTGGCCCCAGAGGCATTGTAGCGAGGGGAAGATAATATATCTCATCAGGGTTCTCAACATTATGAGAATATCACACATCAACTCAACTATCTTTGGAGGGGCTGAGTGATTGAGTTATGGCTCTGACTCCTCTCTGGGGGTGGAGAGTGAAGATGACAAAGAAGGCCATCTGTCCCCTAGGAGACACAGTTGCAGTATAAGACAGGACAGAAGAGAACAGAAAAACAAATCCAACTGGAAAAAAGGGGAGGGAGAAGGAAGTGTGCTAGGCACACACATCCAGGGAGTAGGGGAAGTTCCCACACTTGAGGCCTCCATCCTCTTGAAATGACCAGAATTGATCCAAGTAGAGATATTCCTTTCTTCTGGAAATAAACCTTGGGGATGGCTAGGCAGGATGAAAGGAAATTTAACATGGAGAATGAATCTTACACCCTGGCCCATCATCCCAGCCTCCAAAACTGGCCACAAACCCACTGAAGGGTTCCAGTCCCAGGAGAGGTGTGAGGTTCTGGTGAAGAGCAGCAGTAGTCAAACACCTTCCCCCAGGCTTGAATGATTTTGGCCATCTCTGGGCTCCTGTGCCCAGATGTAGAGATGAGTGGAGATGGAATTGAGGTGAGGGAAGAGATTACTCAATCTTTGACAGAGACCCAATCCAATTCTCTGCATAATCACAAGAGTTCTCTTAGGTCCCACCTCTGTGAGGTGCCAGGTTGCTGACCCACTCTTTACCCCACCTGGGTAGGACTGGCCATATTCCATCGTGTGTGTGCATGCCTGCACCCACATCTGTAGTATCCTGACTGTCATCCATCCTAGGGCCCACCAGGAGGGAAGCATGCCATAGTGAGTTCTATAAAGTTATCAGCAAAATTCAGACACTTTTAGTTCATCCCACACAGCAACGTGCATCCAGAGTAGTTGCTTGAGCCAGGTCCATCTGTCCAGTCAGGTCCTGAAGATGACAAACAACCCCCTTCCCCTAGCTCCTATATCATAGAAACAACAGGAGATATTACAAAGATCAAGGCACTTGGGAGAGAGTCAACAATGACATTCTAATACTACAAGCAGACTTCTTGTGGGGAGGGAGAGGGAAGAAAAATGGGCAAAGGGGGAAAAGGGACAATGTATTTCTGAGGGTCAGAAACAGCCTACTCAACAGGATGGAGTTATCTGGATGGAAGGAGCCTGCAGCCTGAATTTAGCAAAGGAATAAGAGAAGTGGTGGCTAGAATATCCACAATTCCCCCAAGCGTCTCAGAATCCCACCACCTTGAACATCAGAGAGAATCAGGCAGTCTCTTAGGCAAAGATGTTGGTAATAAAATCCAGGAATCGCTTAGCATACTGCTCCGGATGGACAGTAGAGATCTCTGCCCCAGCCTGTGAGAGAAGATATGGAACAATGTGTCAGGCCACCCTAGCACCCGTCCCCATCACCCCCACCCAATCTACCCCAGACCACTTCCATTCTTTTGCCACCCCATTGCTCTGGCACAAGAGGCTGTCTCTTCCCAAAGAATAGTCAAGACAGGAAAGGAAAGGCTTTCGGGAACTCTCACCCCATGCTTGACAGTTTTGGCTGCATGAGCTGCTTTCTTCTTGGCATCATACTGTGTAAGGATATCAATGAGGCCCATGAAATAGACCTCCTTCTGGGGGGCTCCTGGGAGAGAGACCAACGATTCAGAGCAGGTTTAGTTCCAATTCCCTTTCTCCAGGAACCAGTCAGTTTTGTTCTGAAAAGCTCATCAGGCTCTCCCCCACCACTCTGGTCTCTGTCCTTCAGGAACAATCCCCTCTCCACCCTTAAATTGTCCCGGTTCTCTCACCTTCAGCACTCCGGATGGCATAGACATCAATGAAGGACTCAAACTCTCCTGGGCCCAGGGGCCGATGGGAATGGATGTAGCCTCCGATACCCTCTGGGGAGGTGCCATAGGAGCCCACCAGAGCAGGAGGTCCAGTCAGGCTGCAGTCCCCATCCACCTCTGACTCATCCTCCCGCACGGGCCCTTCCTCCTCTGGTTCAGAGCCCCGAATGATGTCGTGGATGCCCAGCAGAAGGCTGTAGTCCATGATCTTCAGCTGCACTAGAAACTGAGACCCACTGACAAATCAGACACCCCTCTCTCATTCTTCACTGCTAGGTATCACCCCGTACCTGTACCTTTGAATTTCTGGGGCCCTCCTGGAGAAAGGAAGTGTAAAAATTAAGGTTGCAGGGCATACCACTGCCCTTTAGTGCCTACATGTCCTGGTATCTAAGATCATCCTTTTAGCTTATTCCAGCCACCCCTTCCATGGGTCAACTCCAGGGGTTTTTCATGTCTCATACTAAACCCCCATACATGCAGAGGACCTGAAGAATAAAGGGAAGGGGTAGAGCTCCCTTATACTGTGAATGAAAGAGACAACTATCCTCTAGGTAGCAAAAAAAGGAAAGCCATTTCCCAGAGCACCCAATCATCACCTCCACATCTCTCTTTAGCTTCTCCAGAAATATTTTCTTCTCTTCTTCACCAATATATACTTTCTGGTTCTTGTTGAGAAAGTCTATATCCTTAAGGGTGGGCAATTCTTTAACCTAAGAATAGGTAAAGGGACATCTTGGGAGCATATCCCTTTCCCAAGGTCTCAAAATCCCACCTTCTGTCTAGGGCTCTATGCTAGCTCAGTTAGATCTCATCTAACTCCACATTGTGATGCTTCCCTGGTTTGTTCTCACCTCCAGTGACTTCCACAGACTCAGTCACTACAGCTGTATCCCCAATCACATCCCACTACTCTCTGCTTATGGTTTTCAGTCAAGACCCTCCAGGCTGACTTTTTTTTTTTTTTTTTTTTTTTTTTTTGAGATAGGATCTCGATCACTCTATTGCCCAGGGTGGAATGATAGTGGTGCGATCTCAGCTCACTGTAGCCTCAACCTCCCGGACTCAAGTGATTCTCCCACCTCAGTCTCCCGAGTAGCTGGGACTACAGGCACATGCCACCACGCCCAGCTAATTTTTTTGTTTTTTGTAGAGATTACGTTGCCCAGGCTGGTCTGGAACTCCTGGGCTCAAGCAGTCCTCCTGCCTTGGCCTTCTAAAGTGCTGGGATTACATGCATGAGCCACCTGCCCGGCCTGTGTCTTCTTAAGCAAAATAGCTGCTTGAATAAAATAACCCAGAATGGGAAGTGGAAGTTAAACATTTTGCTCTTCAAGTCTGGCATCCTCACCCATCCCCAAGCCTTCCATATGGAATAATCCATGCCAGTGTTAAAGCAGCTGCTCCCACTGCCCCTTCCAAACAATCCCCGGATCAACAGAAGTTTACCCCCCTCTTCTTTTAAGTGGTTTAAGATAATAAATAGCTAGTAATCCCTATTCCTATATAGAGTGGCCTCTCCATCCTAAGAAGTTCCCCTCATCTGCCCTCCCTCATCCCTCATCCCTCACCCTAGCACATAAAATTACTATCACCTTTTCCTTATCGCTGGCTTCCCGGGACACTAGGGAACCCTGCAGAGAGACCCAAAGACCAAGTCAGTAGAAGTGGCTAAAAGAACAGTCAGAACCCAGCCCCTAAGATGAGTACTCAAACCCAGCCTTCTTTCCCTTAAAAGGAATCATCCAAAGACCTCCCAGGGTCTTCCCCATTCTCAGGCTATCAGGAGCCTCCCTCTAAGTCCGAGATATCCTCTTCTTACCTTTAGGTCATACTTCCTGTGCACAGGAAGACGGTGGCTAAACATATTGCGCATCACAAGCATGTAGCTGTCTTCATTGTCCACACTGACTCGGTACATCCCCAGGAACTGGGGCAGAAGTGTGTTGCCATGGCACTTCACAATGTACTATAGTGAAAGAAGGGGAAGGAATGGGGAGAGACTGAGTAGCAGATACACAAACAGTCCAGGGAAATTCAAACACTGCCATTCCAGGGTGGAGCAGAAGACTTGAAGTAGAGAGGTTACAAAGTCAAAAGTGGTAGAAGCTTCCCCAAAATGCTCCAGGTTATCCATGCCATTTCTGAATCTCCCTTTCCTCTGATTCTTTCCATTTTACATCTCTTAATTTTAAAGTGTTATCTCTCGATTCACCTTTATCATTCTTTGAGATGAGGGAGGTTAAGTGTTGTTATCCTTATTTTAGACCCTCTCTATATGCAAGTGGCACAGAATCAGGATTAGAACTTACATCTTATCAATTAAATCATTTTATCTAGAGCAGTGTTTCTTCATAGGCTAGATTCCCATAGTTTAAAATGTCTGCATCGGGTTGGGCTGTACTGTGTCATTCTGTCACTGTAATATAAACACAGATTTTTACACCTAAAAAAAAAAAAAAAAGTCTGCGTGATGGCCTACAATTTGGATTCTTTTTTTTTTTCTTTTTTTTTTTTTTTTGGAGATGGAGTCTCACTCTGTTGCCCAGGCTGGAGTAAAGTGGTGCAATCTCGACTCACTGTAACCTCCGCCTTCCAGGTTCAAGCAATTCTCCTGCCACAGCCTCCCAAGTAGCCGGGAGTACAGGTGCACACTGCCATGCTCAGCTAATTTTTTGTATTTAGTAGAGGTGGGGTTTCACTGTGTTACCCAGGCTGGTCTCGAACTCCTGAACTCAGGCAATCTGCCCAGCTCGGCCTCCCAAAGTGCTAGGATTACAGGCATGAGCCACTGCGCCCGGCCTACAACTTGGATTCTTTTTTGTTTGTTTGTTTGTTTGTTTTTTTGGTTTTTTTTTTTGAGACGGAGTCTTGCTCTGTCACCCAGGCTGGAGTGCAGTGGCCGGATCTCAGCTCACTGCAAGCTCCACCTCCCGGGTTCACGCCATTCTCCTGCCTCAGCCTCCCAAGTAGCTGGGACTACAGACGCCCGCCACCTCGCCCGGCTAGTTTTTTTGTATTTTTAGTAGAGACGGGGTTTCACCGTGTTAGCCAGGATGG